GACATTCAACACTGGCGCTCCCGCATCGACGCCCGCTGTACCACATACTCCCCCTCCGGGCGTAGTATAGCCATCCCACTCCGCCTGGACAAAGATACACTTGCCACACTAATCGGCACATACTGTCAGGACAATCCCGCCGCCCACAAGGAAGCCACGGACAGCGAATGGCAATGGCTAGCACAGGCAGCCACCCGAGCCACGGATCCTCACCACTTTGTGGCCATGGGAGGGGATTTCAACACCTATGCGCCCAACCCCCTCGACCGGTCTGCTCCAACACCACGATCCGGCCCCAGCAGTGACATCGGCATCGCCTTCCAACAATGGACGCAGAGCATCGGCCTTGTCTCCTCCTTCCGTCACCGCCACCCTAGCATCCAACGGCACACGTACACCCTCAACAACACGGCCGTCGCTCTCGATGACATCTACATCTCGGCCCGAACAGCCCACAAAGTGGGAGCCAGTGGCATCTGGCTGCACACCATCGCATTCTCCTACCCCTTTGGTTGCCCCTGACGTAGCAGCTGGCCGAGTCCTATGTAACGCGATTGATCCACGTACCCACTTGTGATAGTCGTCGCACGGGGATACATGATCCAGGGGTGATCACACCTATGTCACCCTCTGTGCATGCGATCGTACGAAGCGAAAGGTCCCTTGCAAGTCGCTGCTGATGTCCTGTGCGCAACCGCTCCATGCTGACCATCGTCGGCGTCGAATCGAAGAGTTGTTGAGACAAGGCCCCGTACCATTTTCATCCCTGCCATGCTGCAGGAGTTCCTTGAGAAGGATGGTTTGTTGCCGCGTCTGGCGTTGGCCCCAAGAGTATCCATCCTCAGCATCTAGGCCCACATCGCGGTCCGCGTTCCGACGACGACGCTGATGATGATGCTGGTAGCGGAATACTCTCTCTTTAGCAGCCTTCCTGCTGTAGTTGGGGGAACTCATTGATGTGTAGTTAGGGGAACTCATTGATGCGCTTTGAACATGGATATTTTCTTGATTGATTGGGTTGCTGTCGAGGGGAGGTACATGGGGCGTGAATTGTCTTCTTCACCGCGCTTCCCGGGGCACCCGCAACACACAGGGAAGTCTGGGTCTCTTGGGTGTGATTGGTCTTGTCCAGGGTTTCCGGGGAGAAGTGGGTCTCTTGGGGTTTTGTTCGATCTTGGGATTAGCTTGGTTTTGTATGCACGTTGTTTTTGTGTTTCTTGTTTTCTTCTGTTTGTTTGTTTCTTGGATGCAGTGGTGCGTACCATCGAAGTTGGGATGGGGTTCCAAACCTTTCTCCGGGGGATCCAAACACTACTCCTTTTCTTCATCTTCGTATGCGTGGTCCCTTGGAACTCAGTCGATCTCTAGCTCTGGGGTAGCAAGCTCTTCTTCATCATCAACCCTTGGCAGTTCTGGCTCCACCCGAAGCTCTCTTCCCAAAACCATCGCAGCCAGTAATCGAAGTTCTTTCGGCCTCGTTCAAACTCGTAGAGCAAGGGAGTTGCTGCCATAGCATGTTCAGACACCCACACCCACTGGTCGCTTCCGTCGAATTGCACTTCATATTGCTTCTGCCAAGGCCGTGTTTGGTATTCTATCATCCGGTCGTCCCTTATGGCTGTGATCGATTTGGGGGCTATAGGGTTGCTGGTGTTGGCTACTGACACAGCTACAACCGCCAGTACAGGCGCCTCCTGGACGTTCCCAGGGTTCCACGGGAGCACTGGGTTGTGTGGGTTGTCTGGGAGACCTGGGTAGTCTGGGGGTTCGTCCTCAGCATTGTCATAATCTCCGTCGTCGAGGATCATTTCAACATCAAATGTGATGGGCGCCACACCTTCAACGAGATCAGATGGACGTGACTTGTGTTGCCTTCGTAGCTTCAGGCGAGAGTCGTGGACGTCAGCGTGAAACCTGTAGTTCTTCCCCCTCGTCTGGACACTCGACTTATCTGGTTTGCGTAGTTTGAGATATCCTTGATGATTCGGAATGGTCCGTGCCACAAATGCGCTAACTTTTTCTTCACTCCAGCATCCACCTGGTCGATAAAAAGCCACACTTCATCCCCCGGTTGTAATCGTTCTCCTCGGCCTTCTGGCAGCCGGGAATTGAGGTCTTCTGCTCGAAGAGCTTGGGCCTCAGCTATGACATCATTTGTCAAACCTTGGGCGTACAAATATTGCCGTTGCATCCTCACTCTCCAGCGCCAGTTCGCCGTGGCACCCTTGGTATGAGTGGTTGGTAAGCCCGCTGACAGTGTGGTTTGAGGGTCCCACCTGTGCATGAGATAGAAAGGGGCCTCGTGTCGTGTGTTGGAGATGGATGTGTTCACTACAAATACCAACCGTTCTGCAAAGTCGTCCCAATCCCTCCGAGTTGGATCTTCAGAGTAAATTCGAATGGCTCTGAACAGGGTCTGGATAATCCGCTCCGTCTGACCGTTCGCTTAGGATCTGTAGGCTAATATTGGCATCTGCTCTTGTCCCAGCATCTCGTTGAAGCTTTTGAACACGGCGCTCATGAACGCGGCTTCTACGTCATGCCTCAATTGCGTGCAGGCTCCAAAGCGTCTAAACACCACTTTTTTAAAGGCTTTGGCTGTGGTATCGGCGGATCGATCGGGGGTGGCCTTAACCATCAGGAATGCAGTGAACAAGTCCAGAAACACCACCAAGGTTGTATTGCCCCGATTCGATT